GATTAGGGGTCATCGTCTAAAGTTATATTCTAAAGTGGTGACACAGTATGATAAATGGTATCTGTTTGATCTTTTCTTGGGACGAATACTCTATGAGATATTAACGCATCACTTTAGCAATCACTTCAATTCATTGTGGCAGTATACGGGATATTGATCAGCACCTGACAATTAACTGGTTGAAGCGGACATTGAAAACAGTAATCCCCAACATTTGAAGAGAAAAACAACAAAGTGTCTGGTGTTCTGTACGTGTTCCCTTGAAGCAACGCATTGAAACAATATGAAACAATGATATCCTGGAGGATGTTCCAAAGCAAAAATCAGAGGGATTTTCGCAAATACCTCCACCTTTCATCTTTCATGGTAAGAGACAGCAAGAGTATCATATTTGAAGGCTAAGAAAACAAAAGCCGGTTTGATGGCGACAATCTATATCTTGCGAAATTGTTTAAGCAGCACGCACAAAAAGCTCCCATGATCCCGATGGCACCAATCTTCCATGGATCCCAAACATCTATGATTATCTAAGAACCACATTGAAATGACATTCCCATTGAAATATATTGAAATGTCATTTCAATGGGAATGCCATAAACCCACAAAATGCTGGGTCTTTTGGCGGTAGATTGCTGTAGTCTTCAACTTTAACATGATAAATACATGGTGATCCAAATCCCTACGGTCCCCTGAACCCTCAAATTTTGCGGACGACAAAAACTTCGGGACGTGAATATTACATAAACCATTTTTGAATCACGTAAGACATCGTGATGTCATGTTTGCTGCTTACGTTTTTTGTTTTCCATGTTTTCCCATTTTTTCTCCTGACTTTGCTTGTTTTGGCTGGCAAAATCATCATTTTTGCTGGTGAAATCCCGATTTTCCACTTTTTTTGCTGGTTAAATCCCGATGGTCCATTATTATTTGATGGTTCAATTTCAATTTGTCACTACCTTTAGCTGGTGAAAATCCAATTTTTTCACTATTCTTGTTGGTGAAATCCCAATGTTCGCCAATGAAATCCCTACTTTTTACCCACCGGTGGCCGCTCCCCCGACCTTCGGCTCCTCTACCAGGCCGAAGGCCCAGACGCTGGCTGCCACAGCTGCCATCAGGCGGCCTCCAGGAACGAAGATCACATCGACTTTCTCCGGGGGCGCGTCCTCCATCGCTTGGCTACCAAAAGATGGAGGAAAAATCCACGGAAAATCCCACGGTTTTTTTTCACGGCCCATGTGATAATCCTAGAAAGATCTATGTTATTTTGATGGTAAACATCGGGTGATCATGAAAATCGATGGTGGAAGCTCACTTGGTTCATGATCTGAGAGGACCCCTCGAAAAAAACTATAGCTATGGCACAATTGCCAGAGGATAAATAGCTATTTCAAATTACATTCCAACAGACTCGTCTTTTTTTCTCAACCTTCCCCTATAATATGCATATGCATGGATATGGTATGTTCGCTATGAGACACCACAATGAATACACTAGATTGATAGTTATTCAACTAGGCTTTCTGTGATGGATATATCCTATCTAATCTTTCCCTGTTCTCAGTCTCAGATGTTTGGAGCTTAGGGGACACTAACTATGGCACAAAGTAGCAAAGGGTAACCATTTGCTATGTGAAATGTTCTATGTAATGAGGGATATATTGGGAATGTCATGGGAGATAATTGGATACATAGATATACCATGTGATGGTATGTGGATATTGGTGAAGCTGGTGTGTTTCTACGGGAAATTATTGGGATGCTCATGGAAGCATATGTCAGCATCATTTTGTGGTTACAACGTGGTGCCCCAGTAAGATATTATTGCTATGTTTGTAAACATAACTCCAATAACTAGGACTTGTAGACTGTAGACAGATATATCATGCTAATATATATATATATCTTTTTGATGGGTTTATAAACCAACATTATAACCAACCGTAGAATTTGTTGAAGTTCATGGGTTATGTCCTGACAAACATCCACCTGAGGGAGGGGCATTATGGGGCCACCATGATTGTTTGGCAAGTTGTTTTCCAATTCTTATTGTGCCAAGAGAGGGTCTATTTATTTCTATACATATTGTATATTATGATACGTATGTATATTGCGTTCAAATATCTTTTAAAACATATGTGGTTTATTCCAGGTCTTCTGCTTTTGTTTTAGTATGAGCAGCATTTATTTAATGCGTAAAACCCATTAGACGTGTGTCATATGCACAGCATGCCGCTACGCAGTGAGTCCCAGGCACCTCGTGCATGTAAAAATTGGATGGGTGAATGCACAAGGCATGAGACCCGCCCCCCATAAAATCTTCATTGTGACACGATTGCAATGAATTTCAATGAATCTCATGAGGGTTCAGGGCTCTTGCATGTTCAGTGGTTGCACTCATATAAATACGAGGTCCAAAAGTTGGCAGCCTGAAGAATGGCTTCAACTTGAAGAAACCACTGATCCATCCGATGGGTGCACCAAATGTCACTGACTGAAAGTGATTTAGCTTATCCTAATGAGGAGCATTAACCAATAACAATTCTTATCATCAACTATCACATTGTATAACCTAGACTAATCCCATTTATATCAGCCTTCAAGTATCATCTTATCTACAAATAATAACTGTGATACAAGAACCACCCCATCTCACCGCCCCAGCCAGTCCTCAAGACTTTCACCCAAATGACCTGACATGTTGACCGTGTTTGGCATGATGTTCCATGTGGATGTAATGTGGATGTAATGCTACATCTATGCAAACATAGATGCTACATCTATATGTAAGAGGAACAAAAACATCATTTACAGTGAAACCCTGCTAGTGACGTCGCTAAAACAAAACTGTTTCATATGAGTGTACAGACTTGTATAGTTATATTATTGCTTCCATACATTCACTGGTTGGTGGATTTGAGATAGGGGAAACACATGTGTCACTTGGGGAATCATCATTCGAAACAGAAACGTGCAATAAACGGATTTCTCTCTACTGTAAATATTATGTTACACAGAAATGGAAATATGTAGGCAAAACTCCCTACATGGGATCCGCATAAAAGCATGTATGATTCAATTATATATATATATATATATGTGTGTGTGTGTTAGACAGTTTCATACATCATTTTACATTCATACACATACTATATATATATACACATACTATATGTCTATATGTATATATAATCATATATACACAATATTTACATATATTTATATATATATATATAGCTAAGATAAAATAACATTAAACAACCATATTCCTCCAGCCATCAGACTCATCAGACCCTTCCAGGCCTCGGAGTTCTTTCCCATCTTTCACAAGATGGAAAGTGGAGCTGTGCCTCTCTAGTGCCGAGGAAGCAGCCGCATAGAGATCCAACCTGGGGCCGCTGGGGCCGCTGGGGCTGGGTGGAACCCCATGGAATCCCCCGTTTTTTGGGGGGGCACCATGGCACCGAAAGAAGTACTGTGGGATTTATGGATCAGTAGGTCTTGATCCATTCTAAAGATGTCGAAGAAAGGTGGATTTCATAAGAAAATCATCAACAAGATGGTCAAATAGGCTGGATTCCGGAGCAAACTTTGGACTTTTCAAGCATCAAAAGGTGAAAATTTACCCCCAAAAAATAGAATGTTCTGTTCAGGTTAACCAGAACAAGCTTAGGATTTGACCAGCAAAAACACAGAACAAGTATCATAATAAAGTGTTGATGTTGTCATGACTTAGCCAGGAAGACTTGGGGCTTCACTAGTTTTTACCAACAACAATGAAACTCGTTCTCCAACAAACACTGGCTAGAAAATAGCTGGATACATCCGCTAAACATGGGATATCGTCGTGACAGAATCGCAAAAAAAACACATCCGAAAACATGTCAAATTCGGGGATGTTGCCAGCAGTTTGCCAGCAAAACAACGGGATTTGAACAGAAAGAATCGGGGGTGAACCCACATCAGCGACAGGGCGATCGAGGTTTGCGCATTAGGTTTTAGCAATACCTCAGTTTATCAGATCCAAAGGTGTATCATCACGTTTGCCATTGAAATAGGGATATACGGTGCCCCCTTGTTGCCAACACAAAGATCCAACGACCCCCATTAGTGTAGAAACACAGTGGATCCATGAGGAAGTTCCAGCTCCGCCAGGCTGTTCCCAGCTACTGCATGGCAAAGAGAAATGCGGCTTGCCATGGCAAGGTGCGCAAGACAACAACCCACTCAAGCACCGAAATTTAGGTCACTTTGGCAAACTCAAGCACCTGAAGCTTTCAAATTTACCAATGTATCCCTTCAGGAACCAACAAAGCGAGACCCAAGGTGAAGGTACAGCTTCACAATTTCCTACAAGCAATATGTGTCAGATTGTGCCACCACAAGATGCGGTTTGAATACAGCGGCAGGGACTGAGGGTTTTAGTCATCCATTAATTTGACTATGGCTTAAAATAGGGTACCTCAATTCCCAGGGATAATTAATCATCATTTTCAACATACCTCGGGGGCATGGTGCCCCATGTTTCAGGCAGACACATTGATTGTGAACGATCCAGATGCAAGCAGGCGCTTGATCCACAAGCGAAGACCTGTTGAGCCATGGAAAGCCGGCAATGCTGACAAAGCATACAACACAGCTGATGCATTTGCTGATGAAAGGCATTTTACACAGAGACTATCCTACATTCCAATTGAAATACACAAGTTCAATAGGAAATAATGAACAGAGGATTTTCGATTTGGATATTCCCTGGCTGGTGGTATGTGGACCTAGGAATCTTGAACGAATCCCATGCCTTCCAACCCAATATCATCTTACAAGTCAGTGTGCCAAAGAAAGACCCTCCGCCTCTGAGTTGCTTTCAGGGACAAGTGTACGCCAAGCCCCTCCGTGGTAAAACCCATGATTTCCTGCACAACCTCCGAGATAAACCGTGATAAGCGCAGTCTGCCGGTTAGACTTGGTGAACTTCCGGGAAGATCGCTAAGCTTCGGCACGATACTGCCATTGTATCCACCGAAGACATACAGCGAATTGTTGAAGACCTGTGGAACAGGGACAGGCACCGCTGCTGGGGGAAATCTTCTGTCACAGAATCTTCATCAAGGTTTCGGCGAAAATCAATGCAACAACGCCTACTTGTCATCAGTCACTTTACCGGGAGCTGGCTGAATCTTGTATTTTGTTGTTGTCCCACCTCTGTTGGTTGAACATAATCAAACAACTACACGTTTAGCTTACAACACATGAAAGAAGTCTCAAATCGCACCAAACACAGGTGGCCGAAACTTGCTTGATGATGATACAATGAAAACAAACATCACAAGTGAACAAGTCAACTTTATCTTTGCTTCGATGACGTTTATTTTCTCCCATACACCCCGCATTTGCTGAGTACTTGGTGGATCATCCCCCTATAGCTGGACAATCCCACAACTTGAGGGATTGAGAATCAAGATCACTTGTTGTTGATTCCATAGATTCTTGTCATAGATCATATAAAATAGATTCGATAAACCACAAATTGTCACCTCTTGTCCAATCTCACGTAAGCAGAGTGTAAAACCCTTTGCTGTTCCATTATAAAGGTGGGTTTAATAAGAATTCCCATAAAAGATGAGGATAATCCCCAATGTATTGGGTAGCAAACTAATCATCAACCAGAGGTTTTGAACATTCATGTAAACCCATAAACCTATCTTTTGGGGATGGGTTTACCACATTATATTGCCACTTGCAAGCCACTGCTACACTTGCTACAGGGAGGTTTCCGAAGTCATGGGGGAGTACCCCAAATCATCCAAGTCATTCAACATCATTAAACATCATTACAAAACATCATTACAAAACATCAGTACTAAACATAATCATTAAACATCATTAAACATCATTAAACATCATTAAACATCATTAAACGTCATTAAACGTCATTAAACATATTAAACCATGACTACTGAAACACCCATGGCGACTGGGGAGAAAACCCATCAAATCACCCCGGCGCCGGCGGCTGAAACGCCTCTGCAACGAGGGACGATCTGCCGCTCGGCGGGTCTTCCGTGCTTAGCACAAACCTGGTTGGCGTTTCTGGGCGCGTTGACGGCGTGCTTTGCGCGTTGGCGAAAAGAAGCCAGGGTGAAGCTCTAGCAGCTAACTGTGTTTGACTGGGGGGTTGTTTCCCAATTTTTTCAACCGCTTCTGTTTCTGTTTCTTTTTTGTGACAGTGGATGGAAGTGAGTAACCTCCATATCCATGGTTTTCATTTTCCCATTAAACATAGCCATGCAGTTCCACGCCCATATGGTTACAGTATTAGATGTTATTAGCCACTTACGATTCCTGGAATGCACAGCTAAGCAAATGGCAACTGGGAGCAAGAGTTGGGATTCACTGGAATCTGTAAGATGATGTTCGTGGCTTAAATTCCACAAATTTCCACAAGCATAGATGGTTTCTGCCAATAAACATGGGGCCCAGGCGTGGTTTCTGCCAATCCCCAAATGTGAGGGCCCCAACCCAAACTGCAACCAAGTTCTCATTCTTCTTGGTTAAACAGTTAAAAACATTTTTTCCCATATAGTTTCCAGGGGGCCTCAGAGAGAGAGAGAGAGAGACAGAGAGAGAGAGAGAGAGAGATCGATCCAGGTCCTGATCAACCGGACAGTAGGGGCCTCTGTTTGTTTCATGACGTTGGCACGCCCGACTGAAGGCAAACGTATGTAATACCTTCAATTCTGGAACCTCAAAATATTTTTCTTGGCTAATCATACTACATGTGTTTGATGAAACATGTTTTTCACGGCCATGGCCATAAATTCCCATAGCTTGCGACAAACCCATATTGGCCGGCGATTCTCAACAAAAATGCAGGGGCTCTGGGCCGGTTTTAAGGGTTTAAGGGGTAGTCCCAAGAAAAAACACAACATTCTCAGGATATTTATCTGGTTTGTGGTTTCAACCCCTCTGAAAAATATTAGTCAGTTGGGGTCAGTCACTATTCCCAATATATGGAAAGTCATAAAATTCATGTTTCAAACCAGCAACCAGTTACCATGTGTTACCTCATCACCTTTTCATTTTGTGTCATGGCTGAATCGACGTCAGGGTGAAGCTGTGCAATCCTGATTCAACTACCAATCCCTCATGCGACTCGTGCCAGCTGGTCCAGCCCATGGTAGCTGTCACTGCAGTGTGCAAAGGGCCTGCAACTACAGTATCACTTGGTGATTCATATACCAAGTCTTTATTGCTTCCATCCATTTCCCTCCTCGGATCTCCATGCATTTCTTGGTCAATTTCCCCATTCTCCCGGCATGCGAAACCCCACCATTGTCTGGTTTTCATCGGGGAGTTCATCCTCAACGAGGTTTATGGCCCAGTGGCCAAGTATGGCAGTCGAACCGAAATTCATAGAGGTCGTTCAGCCTCTCCTGCGAGCAGGGGCTCAAACATGGCGAGCCGCTGGATGTAAACTGGGAGATTTTCCAGAACAACATGTTCGATTACCGGAAGGTAGCAAAAAATACCCATTTCCATGAGGAAAATCATCTAATTATTGAAATATTAGTTCAAAATTAGTTTCCAAACATAGTCCGAACTGTTCAAGGAAAAATGATGAGTGTTCCATGTTAAAGTTGGTAGCGCCATAGGGTTGGGGCGGAATGTCCTGGGACCTGTAGAACCCTTTCACACACACAACATATCTCAAGAATTGTAAATATCTTATATATGTCTGAAAATCATATAAATATATGTCAATGAATATCTATATGATAAATATCTGGATGTATTATGTATGGTATATATATATATATATGTGATTTTCGGGGGGTACATACAGTAACGATTCATGTATCATTCCATACAAGCGTGTCCATTCCAACTCACCCAGCTGGCAATCCTGTCCACTGTATCCTCCGAAGAGGAACAACGAATTTCCATAGACCTTGGCCGCTTGGGAAACACTGTTTGTTTATTCAGGTCTTTTTCATTACAACAAGGGCATGCTTCCTTTGGTCTAAAGTCTTGGGCTGAGATTCACGGACCACGAGAATTACTTGCTGCTTGTGTGATGGCAAAAAGTCCAAAAGAGTCAAAAATCAAAAGTGCTGAAAACACCAACACATAAATGTGAAATTTCCCATTATCTCCAGCAACATCCCATCAATAGAGTCATTTGACAGCCAAAACATCGTAATTTCCATAGAATCTCGGCCACCCCAACGACACTGGCGTGAAAGTACCGGGGCGATGGCACCTGCAAGGGCGACATAGATGGGCATTATCATCCACCTGGCTGGTTTCAAATCCCTGATACTGGTCTATGTATACCATATGTATATATATATGTGTACAGTATATATGATTAAAACTATAGTTATTTTTGGATGATTATTCTGTATCCATAAAACATGAAACCACACCCAGAAAGAGGTTCACGCTGATGTGAGGCGGTTGTGTAGTGTTATGTCACCACACTGATTAAAGTGGGCAATCCCCCCTCCTGGCCAAAAGGTTACCATACACACAACCCACTGTCAGAATTCGTAGCATGAAACATCATCTTGAAGAACCCCAAAGAAATCATGGTTCGTCAGATTATGTCCCATCAGAAAGGCCATAAGCATCGATAAACTATGATAAACTCCCGACCATCCAGAAGTTAATTTACAATCATCTAGACTCGAACAATCACATGTTATCTGGTTGGTGGTTTCAACCCATCTGAAAAATATGAAAGTCAGTTGGGATGATTATTCCCAATATATGGAAAGTCATAAAATTCATGTTCCAAACCAGCAACCAGGTATCTAAATCATTTGATTTGTTCCACGTGTCAGAAATGCCCCCAATTGGATACCATTGGATCCTGAAAATGGCTCACCATGGCCGGGACCTGTCCAGCGGATCTGACCGAGGACCAGGTCCTGGTGGATACTAGTGACTAGTGGGTTTTAACGAGTTTCTATAGTCTTCTATCTTATGATCTTTCTGGGGATTGACGCAAAATGGTGAAAATGTAAATATATACATATACAAATATACATATATATCTATATATTTATATACATATGTATAAATACATATATATACATATTTACATATATACATATGTACATATATATAAATATACATACATACATATATACATATATACATATATACAGATATCCATATATACATATATACATATATACATATATACATATGTACATATATATAAATATACATACATACATATATACATATATACATATACAAATATATATATAGGCTTCAAATGTATGTGTAAATAAATATATAGAGTATATAAATATTATATATACATATATAGTGTATATATATATATATATTTATATGTAGTTCCAATACCTTTTCAGCAGGTTCTTTATCTGCCGGTCTCCGTCGTGGCCCGGTGACCGTATGGGCCTAGCCACCACTGGCCACAAAAGTGCAGTAGCAGACGGTGGCAAACAGGGTAGGTTTTCTCTTCAGTGGAATTCCCAAAGTAGAAATGATATCTTTGGAAATTTCATTTAAAGATGTTAGGAATTCCAGTGGAATTCCCAAAATCAGTGTAATTCCCAAACATCTTCGTTAGGAAATGTTATGAACAAATGATATGCGCCGTTTCCAAATTTCCCCTAATTATTTCTGCTTGGGAGTTGCTACGAGAGGGGAAGTGATGAGCATGGAAGCATTGGATGTATGATCAACAAATACCAAACTGCAAACATATGGCTAACCTTCAATCAAAAGGACTCAGCAGGATATGAGATAGTCCTTCTTTCGTAGCTAGAAAACATTGTTACAAACAACTACATGGAATCCCATTTATGGTTCAGTATGGTTAAATACTCCGAACATGACCCACCGCTATCTGGGTATGATTCAAATTTTTGGATCCCCCAAGCACACGCATCTTAGTCGTTTCC